AGTGGAGGTCAGGGGCTTCCAACAGAAGGCCATTCTCTACCTGACATCTACTTTGGCATTTTCCCTCCATGTGAATGGTTCTTCAGCATCTGAAAAAGTGATTCTTTGGTCAAAAAAAAAAAAAAAATCACGGCTGCCTGATGGACAAGTGATTCTTTATCTACAGTTCTTCAGTCATGCCTTTCAACCTCTTAAAACAGGAGATGGCCCTTTTTCCATTTTCTACCATCCATCATTCCCCCAATGTGGGTGTCAGTGATATACAAACAAAGCAGAAGTGGGACCTGCCCTCAAAGAGCTTACAGTTTAATAGAGGGAAATAGACATTTAATAAATGCTGTAGGATGTTAATAGAAGTGTGTGAAGGGATAAGAAAGATAGCCTATAGCCTCAGAATCAACTTTTTGTGTAAAAAGGTCCTTCAGATAACCATTTAGATATTCCTTGATGTTCAGAAATGCAAAATTGATCACAAAAATAAATTTCATATTTATCATTTGACAAAGTATTAATTAGCACTTAAGTAAAATTTGTTTATAATTATTGTTTATGTAGTGTGCTTGAAAATATATTTCCAGCAGCACTACCTTGCAAATTCACAAGATTTGAAGATGGTTTCTAGAAGTAGATTGTGAATTTCAGAATGAGATCTTTCTTACATATGTCCTAAGGTTATAGTTGTTTTCCTTAGTTAGAAATAAAGAAAAGACAGGAAATCTAAAGAAATTTAGTTGCAAGTTCAGTTGACTAACCAGTGAATCTTACAAAAACGCTTCTAGAGAATAGAAAAAAGACACTCCTGATTCATTTTCTGAGGCTAGCATAAATCTTTGTAACCAAAGACATTACAAAAATGGAAAATTACGGCTAATCTCAAGAACTGAGATGTAAAAATCCTAAACAAACCAAATCCACCATTATATAAAAGGTCAATAATAAGACCAAAATGGGTTTATTAAGAATGTAAAAGTGGCCTAACATCCAAAAACTAGTGAGTCTAATTCATACATTAACAGAAAAATCATGATTATCTCAGATGCAGAAAATTTTGATAAAATTAAACATCCATTTATGATAAACTTTTAACAAATTAGAAATAGAAGAGAACTCCCTTAATTTACTAAAGGGATCTACCAAAAAGAAAAAGAAAAAGAAACCTACTGCAAACATCATACTTTTAAATGTTGAAAGTTTTTCCATTGAGATTTTGGAATAAGGCAAAGATGCCCGCTCTTAACCATGTCTGTTTAGCTCTGTACTAGATCCTAGCCAGTGCAGTAAGACAAAAAAATGAGTATATGTTGGAAAGAAATTGAACAGTCATTATTTTCTGCCAAATAGGATTTAAAACAGGATTGTGTATATAGAAAACTCAAAAAAATTGAGACAAACTATTAGATTTAATAATTAAATTATATAAAAACCCTAGAGTAAACCTAAGAACGAAAAATGTGTAAGACTTCTACAGAAAACTGTGAAGCATTATTGAAAAAATTTAAAGGTCCAGGTAAATATGCTTATAAATTGGAAGATTCAATATTGTGAAGATACTAATATCCCTTAATTCATCTCTAGATTCAGTGCAGCCACAATCAAAATCCCAGCCAAGTTGGCTTGTTCTTCCCTTTCCTTTCCTTTTCCTTTTCTTTTCCTTTTCCTTTTCTTTCCTTTTTCCTTTTCCTTTTCCTTTTCCTTTTCCTTTCTCTTTTCCCTTTTCTTTTTTTTTTTTCTTCTTTCTCTCTGATTCTAAAATTCCTATGGAAATTCAAAAGGCCAGGGATAATACAGACACTTTTGAGGACAACTTGCTGTAACAGATAAAAGGAGATCTTATAAAAACTATCATAATTACAATAGTGTGGTATCAGCACAAGAATAAAGAAAACACTGAAACAGGCTACTGACCCCGGAACCAAACAAACCAACCCATGCATATATGGACACTGGCTTTTAACAAAGGAACAGTTGGAAATGTAGTTTTTTCAGCATATGGTGCTGTGTCAAATAGATGTCTGTGTAGGGTGGTGGAGAGACTTGATTCCCACCTCACCAGAACCAAAAATCAATTCCAGGTGATGTGTAGATCTAAATGTGAAAGAGAAAATAATATAGGAAAATATCTTTATGACCCACCTGTAGGGAAAGATTTCTTAAACAGGATAACAACAGCAACAACAAACACAAACTCGACTGTAGGTAAAGATTTAAAGGTGGGAGAAATGAATGGTGTATGGGTGTATTGGTGTATTGTGTTAGGAATGATCCAGTAGCAAGAGAAAAACATGGTATAAAAGGGAGAGGGAGAATTGCTAGTGTCACATCCTTTAGAAGGTGAAAAGTGGATGAGATTTAGAATTGAAGAATAGGCTGAATTTGTTCACGTGGTAATCTGTTATAAAATTCTGTGCAGTTTCTGTATTGTGATGCATGCCTAGACTATCTGTGGTGGCTGCTGTTATTCCTATGTAATTAGAATGTTCGAACACCAGGGTAGACAATCTCATGAGTAACTACCAGAGATATTTGAAGAAACTCTTCGGTATTTTCCTGTTTGGTCAGCAATGTTTTGATATATTTTTATTAGAAGTGAGGGGACTCAAATGGCTTGGGTACCTCCGGAAGAACGGTTTTTAATAGTCATTCACAATTCTTACTTACCCTTTTTAAAGTGCAGCCTTGGAGCCAGAATTTCAAATAGCTCCTGCCACAAGCAACTGCTTTTCCTACAAATGCTGTGCTGCCCCCTAGACATATGTGGCTTTTAAAACTGGTCCTGGACAATTCATTAGTTGCACTAGCCACATTTCAAGTGCTCAGTAGCCACATGTAGCTAGTAGCTAGCGGCTGCCTTTGGATGGTGCAGCATGATGGTTCCATCATTGCAGAAAGTTTTATTAGATGGCTGTCCAACAAGACTTTCCACCTTTGTGGACAGACATCAAATAAAATTTTAGCAGGACTGTAGTTGAGTGACTACTCTGGTATTAAAATATAATTTTAACCCCTGCCACATTAGATTGTCACAAGTGGCCCATCCTACTAGCCTATCTAGTCATTAGGTGTTTACTAGCATGGCTCCAGATTTTCTGGTTAAGAAACCCAATTAGAGAAAAAATTGTAGTACGAATTTCAAACGTCCAACCTGGGGTTGTGGCAACATTGTTTACACCTTGACAGACTTCCTAGGTTAAGCCCCCAGTTAGCTAAGATTGTAACCATTTGAGAGGTTCTCAAGGAGTTCGTCTCACAAAGGTTGGCTGAAGCCCCAGGAGGATTTGCTTAAATTTATGGATGAGGAACAGGAACCCTGTAGAATTGCCATAGATTTTTGCTGCTGAGATTCAGCACTTGAGGAATCTGCCTCTTTTCTTAAGCCAACAGCTCCCAAATGGTAATTTCCTTCCCCTTACCCAATTTTCTTCTCCTCTCATTACATAGCCCATATCCAAGCATGCAAGAAAAGTTGTTTCAGGGTGGTCTGCATTATGTAAGGAAGCTTTTTTTTTAAGCTCAGCTTCTGGTGGAAGATCTGTAATACAAATTGAGTCCACAGCAGTAGAGTGGGCGCTGTGATGCATCCCGAGGTTAGAAATGATTACATTGGATGCACCTCATGGTATGGTTGGCACTTTATACCAAGAAACTTTAAAATTTTGATATAATCATATCCAAATTGGCTGCTTTCAGGGAGAGTCAGCTAGATAACTGGGCTACATAATGGGAGTGTGGGGCTGGGGTGGATATGTTCATAGGGGCCTGTTAGCTCATTCCAGCTTCCCTTTGTCCTGGAATTATAAAAGTTGTGATGTTATTGCTGGAACTTTGATGCAGCAGTTGCTAAGCACCTGCTGTTGTGTTTCAGGCACTAGTCTTGAGCCTTGAGGTTACAGAGTCACGAGAGTCCCCGCGCTCAGTCTGATATGGGAAACAAATGTACACAAATAATTACCATATACTGTTACTCATAAATACAATGTACAAGGTCCAGAGGGTCTTGAAACATTTTGGTCTGATTCCCCCATTTTCTATTGGATGCAGCTGAGGCCCAGAGAGGGAAGGAGACTGGTTTAAGTAATGCCAAGAGAACTAGAACTTGGGTTTTCTGCTGACTGGTTCTTAATAATTTTGCTCCACCACCCTAAAATATGATCAATATCCTTGTAGGATTCATCTAATTTCTATCAGCTTTAAAAAGCCCACCTCTTCCATGAGGTCCCTTTGACTGCCCTTTCTCCTTAACTCCGCTTAACTATCTTTTCCTCGTATTTATTGTGCTTTTATGAATCGTCTTTCTTCCTGTCTTACATGTTGAACGTGATGATCAGGACAGAAGCCAAGCCGGCTTCACTTTGTCCTTATCTCATTTCTTATCCCCAGCAAGGTCTGAACTGACTGTCAGGCTTAATGAAGCCTTAGAGTCGAACAAGTTGGGTTAGAACCTGCTTGCTCCATTGTGAGACACTTCCGGCTACAGCAGTAAAAATTCGTATGTCTCGGGCCACACGAATACATATTATACTGTGAAAATCGAGGTTAGTTACTATTTGCCGAGTTTGGGGGGGCAGGAGACACAGAGCAATAGCAACAATTCATGGAGAGAAGATTTGCACGCAGTAGGAAACAAGGCCCTCTTAAGCGGCAGCCTCCGTGGGCGCTGGGGGCGGGCCGGGGCGGGGCTGCGCAGTGGAGCTGCGCGAGGGCTCTGTTGCCGGAACTCGCCCGAGTTGGGCGCCAGGACGCGCGCAGCCCTGCCCCCTCCCTTGCGAGGTGGAAACAAAGGGGGCTTGGCGCGCGGAGCTGAGCCAAGGGGGGGAGTGGAGGAGCGCTCTGGCGGTCTCACGTTCAGAGCTCTCTAGGTTTGTGCTGGCGAGGGGGCGGGGCGGGGGACCCAGAGCTGAGGAGTGGGAGGGCCGCGTGCTCGCGTATCTTGCGGCCTAGCGGCGAGAGGCGTAGCCTGCGCGCGCAGCGGAGGACAGTGCGCCGGCGCGCGGCGAGTCCCGGTCCGCGAGCGGCGAGGCGGGGTGCGGTGGGGCGGGGCCCCCTCGTGCGGCGGTGCGGGACGGTGGCGAGGCCCGGGCGGTTGGGGTGCGGGGGCGGAGAGGATGGAGCCTCCGACGCGTTAGCCGACTTTGTCAGCTCTGGTCGTGCAGCCGTCGTTTCCCGGCGAGGCCCGTGTGATGGTGCCGGGAGGAAGGAAGCGCCTTGACAGCGCCGCAGTCGGAGCCCGGGTTCCAGGGGTGACGAGGCCCGGGGACAGCGGATCTGGCGAGCTGGCCGCTGGCTGGACGAACAGTCACAATAGGAGGCGGCGGCCCAGCGAAGAGCCGCGGGAGCAGCCCCGCAGGGCGGAGCCTCCCCTCTCAGGTACTGGCTGCTGCGGCCGTTGGCTCCAGCGCGAGGGCGGGACGGGCCGCGGGCTGTTGGGAACCCGCGGAGCGGCGCCTGGCGACCGTCGAAGGTTTGGCTCCGCAGCCCAGCGCTCTTTGTTCCCGCGGTGGCAAGGAGGTGCAGCCGCAGTCAGCGGGAGCCGCCGGCCGGCCGCTGCCTGGCAGATGGCCTCGCTCTCTCCCTCCCTTTTTGCCGGGGCGCAGGTGAAATGATGTCACTTAAGAGAACGCAGAACCCGGTCCGAAGGGTCCTCTCTTGCGTCCTTTTAGTTCCACGGGTTTCTGGACAGGCTGCGTTTTGTTCTCAGGGGATAGAAATCTTCCTTTCAGGGCTGAAGAATGAGAGAGGTTGGTTTTTGAAATGGGAATTTTTCAGGTTGTTGAGAGCGAAAGAGAATAAAGTTTTTGTTTTCGTGTGTACAGCCTGTAAGGGACAGCAGTTTTCTTTGTGTTACAAGGATGATGTATGCTCTCATCCAGTAAAAGTTGAGTATGCTAATTCTACTACCATAAATAGAAACGAATACTTGTATGTAATTATCACTAGCATCATGAATTGTCATTTCTTAAGAGGTGGACTCAACGTATGAAAATTTAAATGTATTCAACGCTAACAGACAATCGTTTGTTACCTTAGAATTGCAAGCCTGCCGAATCCTATTTGGCCTTGATTGCAAGTACTATTGTAGTGACCACATTTACCATAAACTCCTTTCAACAGCAAGCAACCCTTGTATGTAGGCTTAAAAAAACACATTCACGCAGTTTTTATAGGTGAAGTTGGAATCAGTAAAATTATTCTATCTTTGGGGAACATCGTCTAAGGGAAGAAATAGAACTTCTGTAGAAGTAACAATACACAAACCAAATATGTATAGGTGTCAGATCATGTGCGGGAAGCTGGGACACCAGTGAAATAAAAAGATGAAATTTCTAACGAATTTTATCTGGAAATTGTATCACTTCATATACACCTTTTTCCATTTCCTGCTGGTTTATAAATATATTGGTTTAATGTATTTCACCTTTTGAAAACCTACTAATCTTACATCTGTTCATTATAGGGGGTTCAATTTTAAGTTGATTTCTATAATTTGCTTATATCTAAGAGAATTGAAGGCCCTAATTAGAGTCTGTAGTTGAATAAGTTTTGCCAGCACCTGGCCATGTGGACCTCAGACCCTCATTTGTAAAATAGAAAGAGTTGCACTTAAATGATCTCTGTAGTCCTTCCACCTCTGCTATCTTCTATGATTCTAGAAGGCAGTTTGTGTCTCTATACTGGCTATAATTTTTATTCCCATCCTGTTTTTATAGCTAAATTGGCAAGTATTAATCTGGATAAGTATTGAAAGTTTTCTCTAGTAAAGCAATCTGATTTTTGATAAAGATTAAACAGGATGACACAGATATAGCTGAATGCGTTAGCATCATATTGTAGATCTATTGTCTCTCTGTCAGCAACATTGGGTGAGGCTTTTGGTTAACTCATAATACATCCTCAGGCTGTTTCTGTTTGTCCTCATTTTTTTCTTCCTCTGAAGCTGTGAGTGGGAAGTATGGATGAGAAATTAAGTATCTGAAATGATTAAGTGCTTGATCAATATGGAAAGATTATTTGTCAGGATTACCTATGTCTTCTAGTTTATTCCATCTATTTCTCTATGTTTGTATTGATCCTAGTTTGGTTCAGGCCATCACCACCTTGTAATTCACCTTGCTGGAAAGGTAGTTGTGGATTAATCTTGGTTGTTGCATAGTGTGTGGGTCTACTTTCTAGTTTTCTGATTGTTTTTTATTAAACACATATATCAGACAACAGTTTTCACTTCTCTTCTACTCTGGTTAACTCATGGCTTGCTTGCTTTTTCTCTGTAGAGAGCGAACAGATTGTAAACATGCATTTAGATGGTGTAGTTCTTGTCTAGTTCATTCATCAGCAAATGTTAAATAACTAATATGACATTGTTTATGTAGAAGAGATAGAGCAAATGCTTGAACTCCACAAATTAGGGAGAGAGAAATTTGTAGTAAACAGATGAAGAAGAATCATGTCCACAGTCTTCCCCACCCCCCAACTCCTACATCTTTTCCTTTTTATTTTTTTATTTTTAAATTTTTTAAATTTAATTTTATTTTTCCAGAGATGGCATCTTATTATGTTGACCAGGCTGGCGTTGAACTCCTGGGCCCAAGCCCTATCTCCTCAGCCTCCACTGAGCCTGGCTCTCTTAGATCTTTTCCTTTTTAAAGGATCTGAACACCTTACTTTCTCACCTCTATCTAGGTCTAGGTAATGGGGCCCTATTGTCCTCATTTAATTTTTGTTAATTGTCCCTTACCAGACTGAATCTCTTTGAGGGCAAGGACTGTTTGTTTTTCCCGTTGTATTCACAGCATCCAGCACATGGCAGACATGCAATAAATATTTGAATTATGATTGTTATTTAATAAGAAAATGATAAAGAGCTCAATTATGGCTCATCTTTTCAACTATTGTGAAACCCACAATTTTATATGAGTAATTATATATATGTATATGTGCGTGCATATATACATAATTTTTGTATTGATTTGAACTAGTCATGGTCCACGTATTTTCCAAATCCATATAATTCTTATAGGCTACCAACCTGAATAAAATGATTTTAGACACTTCTTTGAGGGGAGAAAAATCATTGTGCCAGCAAATGTGGATTGTGGAAGGGAAGGAAAGAAAATTTTAGAAAATATGTATAACTCTTATTTTTCCTAAACTTTATTTCCACCTTCTCAGTACATATAATGGATAGGGGAGATATTTGAATGTGTCTATTTTCCCCCTCCCTTCTCATTATTTTATGGTACTGTGGACTGAGAAAAGGAAGTCGGGGAGCCTTAGGCTGTTTTCATCCACCTTGGTTCTTTTGCTCCTAGAAAGACATGGGTCCACTTTGTTGTTGGCCTTAACTCAAGAATGAGAATAATAGTTCGCTTTTAAAAATGATTGTCCCAGTGTTAGGCAGTAATGAGTCCCTCCCCTCCACAGGTAGTACCAGTCCTTAAATGATTTTCTCCTAATACTGCCTACTGGCTTTTCAAAATTATTTTTTAGTTAGAGAAGCAAATTGTGACAGTTATATAAATGTGATAAAATGATTATTATCTCTTGTATTACCTCCTTTTAGTCTTTTTCATGTCCTATTTGTGTGTGAATTGTTGAAGCTTAGAGAGGAATGACTTAGAAATTTTGTCTTAAATCTCAAAGGGTAGTGCATCTCCAAGGGTCACCACTATCCCATGTTTGGACCTCAGCTTTCCAGGATCTGGTTCTTGATTGTTATTTTTATTAATCATCAGTACACACAAAGTTGATTAAAGCTTTTTTTTTAAGGAGCTTTATTGAGTTATAATTTACATATCATAAAATTTACTCGATTCAATTCAATTATTTTTGTTAAATTTACAGAATTGTGCAGCCATCACTCCAACCTAATTTTAGAACATTTCTGTCATCCCAAAAAGATCCTTGTGCCCAACTAGGCCTACCTTTGGCATGGCTCCAAGGCCCACAGTCACATTCATATTTCGTAAGGTCCTCTTCCCTACTCCACAGTAGCAAAATCCTTTCAGAGAACTCTGTTCCCAGAAAACAAAAGCCAAGGAAACAGATTTATCCCAGTGACACAACTTTCTTCAAAGGCAAGGAAGCATTTAGGTGTGGGTTCATTCTCAGGACAGGAAAAAAATCCTAGCAAGAAACACAGCACACATCAATATGTTAATGATTTTTCCTGCCTCAGTAGGGTGGCATGGACTTACCAGGCAACCACTGACTCCATTGAGTGTGATCTGCAGGAGAGCGAATCAGGTCTCTTCTCTTTCCCTGATCAAAACTTTAGCGTTTAGCCTATCTCGTTGCTAACTAGATTCATAAGGAAACTGGTTACACAAACCAGAAAGGCAGGCTGTTATGTAAGTTGGTTAGTTTGGAAGATTATTCTTTTATTATTATTCAATAAAGAGTTGAGTGCCTGTACATGCCATGCACCCTTCTAGATGTTAGTAATGTATGCTGAACAGGACATGGAGCTTCTATGTGTTTTCCTGAGGGTATGCTCAGGTCACCTCATTGATTTGGTTAACCCTTTAATCTTTAGAGGGAATTCCTAGTTTTTCTTCCTGATGGTCTAAGATAACTTTTATCTTGAATTTATGATGTCCCATGTATATTTAACGTCAGTTTTGATTGTGGCATTTAAATAATTTTGTTTCTCCCCTTGATAGCAGTATTTTTTCATTGCTACTTTTTTTTTTTGAGACAGATTCTCACTCTCTTGCCTGGGCTATAGTGCCGTGGCGTCAGCCTAGCTCACAGCAACCTCAAACTCCTGGGCTCACCCAAGTAGCTGGGACTACAGGCGTGTGCCACCATGCCCGGCTAATTTTTTTCTATTTTTAGTTGTGTGGCCAATTTCTTTCTATTTTTAGTAGAGACGGGGTCTCGCTCTTGCTCAGGCTGGTCTCAAACTCCTGAGCTCAAACAATCCACCCGCCTCGGCCTCCCAGAGTGCTAGGATTAGAGGTGCGAGCCACCGCACCCGGCCCATTGCTACTTTTTAATGGCTGCATAATAGTTCACCAAGCAAGTGTAGCATAATTTTACTTAGCAAATACTTACTTGTTAAACATTTAGGTTACTTCTAGTTCCCTTTTAAATTGTTGCTGCTATTGTGCTGTGGTAAACATATTTATGCATATGGCTTTTCTCATATTTTGGAGTATAACCTGAGAATTTATCAGAGTAAAGATTACTAATTCAAAGATTATGTATGTTTTTTACATTGTTAATAAAATCTACCTAATTATTCTCCAAGAGACATTTACCATCATGGAAGCAGTGAGAATATTTGGATTTTTAGATCATTTGTGTTTGACTTCATTTTATAAATGCCCATTCGTGGACCTAGAGGAGTAAGGGCTTATTAGAGGTGACAC